CTCAAAGTCCTATGTAAAATTAGGCACCCTGTTTTTGGGCTTCCTGTGGTTATAGGCCCAGCAATTTTTGTATCTAAAGTCTGTCACTTCTGACAGTGCAGCTTCTATGTACAGGATGTTTAAACCTAGAAAATGTTGCTCTGTTTATAACAAGCATGGATCGTTCCACTCTCTAAGGTACATTTCCCCTCAAATCCAGCTGCTTCCCTACACTTACACAAAGTGTTCTGTAGAGTACATTTGTGCCAGTTAAAAGCAAGAGCTACTTTACAGGGTGAAGTCTCAAGTTCAGAAGTGTTTCTTCTGGACCAGTCTAGATTCACTCTCTGTTATTCCTCCCCTCTCCTCCCCCTCTGCAGCAGTTCAAGGTAATTCCTACCCTCCAGTTATCCTGACAGGCTCAACATGTTCTAGTTGTAATCTTCACCGTACATCTCTCTCCAGCCCTTGTCACACTGTGTGCTTTCTCCTCAATACATGACTCTTGAGCCCCAAGTGCGGTATGAGGAAACTCGATACCCACCACCTCCTAGGGCTCTGTTCTCAGTTTCCATGCTTCTAACTCTCATGCCCTGGATCCCTTGCAAAACTGCCAATACATACCAATGTATGCAGAAATTAGACCTTTTTCCCCCCCAGGACTGGGACTGTTGTCAAATGTTCAAATCTAGGATGCGGAACTCAAATTTTAACTGCCTAACAGCAGTGTGCCCAACTGCTTAAGAACAACTTTTCCCTGGGACTTCCCATTTCTTCCAAGTGTTTGAAAGATTGCAACTATTCTCTCTCCTCTCTTAGGCTGACAGTACAAGTACCTACTGGCATTGCCTCCTTCCCTAATGAAATCATGCACACACCTCAATCTTGGGCCCAGAAGAAATACACCAACATCATTTCCTTCCACTTCATGCCTCGAGGTGGCCACTTTGCAGCTTTGGAGGAACCTAAGCTTCTTGCTGAAGATATTCTGCAATTTGTTGGGAAAGTAGAGAAAAAGCAACTTTAGAGAAAGAAAGGAGAATAAATCTATTAACAGCAGGGTAATTGCTTATAGCTTAGCACATGTTACAGGCCTTATTAAGTCTACTGTAATCCATGTAATTAGAGCTTATTCTTGATCAGATGAGAGAGGACAAGAAGAAAAATGCAGTACATCTCCATGAGATACTGCTGTGGGGACATACTGATTTTGGGGTGGGTTTTTTTGTTCAGGTAGGCTAAGAAGGTAGCATGAAGATCAGTTAATTTTTTTCTCCCCCAAGCAGAGACTTCTACCATCTATTCTGTAGTATTACTGACACTTGCTTTGAAATTGAAAAATAGACCTTACAACTAATAACATAACTAGTATCAGTTTAATTGTTATGAAAGGCTTTTTTTTCATGGCAGCAGTAAAACTTGAGTTGGTGTAGGTGTGAGGTTCCTCACGTAAAGAATGGGGAACAGCCTAGCAAGACCTAACTTGCATGAGTGCACTGTTAAGCAGCATTGATGATCTAAGTACCATTAAACTAGCCAGCTGGCTACTGCTGGCTGCCTGGCTCTTCCAGCCTGGGCTGTCAAGCAGCTCCCTGGCCATGAGGAAGCTCAGCTCCCCTGCATCAGGCTCCTGGGACAGCAATGTGTGAGGAGCAGCTGAAACACACAGGTGCCTGTAGCTGGGACCAGGAGGAGGGGTGGGGTAGGAGTAATTATAGCCCAGTACTCTACAAAACCAGAGCCCTGGGTAGGCTCAAGACACTGTGGCTTTGCACTGCTTCTGCAGGGTATTGTAAATACCTCTTATTAAACAAAAATTTGATTAATTCAAAATTAAAAGAAACTTGCATTAAAATTTTGATTAATGGCTGTTGCTTTCTTTTTTTAATAATTGGGATCTTGCTTGGTAACAGCAAAGAGAAGTATCACTTCTGTACTGCATCTGTTACAAAGGTCAGATTGAAGGCAAACCACTCAAAGAAAATTGAATGTTTTTGCCAGTAACAGTCCCTAGTGTGTGCAGTTGAGCTTCAAACCCTCTTAAACTGTATCCAGATGACTGACTGCAGTATGGTTTTGTTCTCCCATCATTTCTGATATACTTCCCTACCCCTGCAAGCACAGGGAAATATAATCCACCAGTAACACTTGCACAGATTAGTTGTATTTCACAAAACTAATTGAAATGGAAGCTGTTAAATAACAGTCCCTCCAGCAGAGCCTTGCTCCATCCCACAGGGCTTTAGACTCAAGAACACCAACTAGCTTATTTCACAGAAGAAAAATCAACACTCCCACTGGCCACAATTGAATCTCAAAGCCACCTGACATGCCATGACAGAAAGTCATTAGGGCAGAGGGGTTGCAGATCAGCTGGGATCAGTTTTGTGAGCAGAAGCGAGACCCCTTGCCACCTTTCCTCTGCCTTCTGTGCTTCTGCACCTGGGTGCCAGTAGTGGAAGGCACAATAGCTCTCAGGTCTCCCTACAAGATTTGACTGCAGTGCTGCCTTAGACCTTCAAGCTGTACCTCTTTAAAGAGAGCTGACTGCTTCCACATTAATAGCAAGTGTTAATTCTACGTTTACTTGTGAATGGTTTCATTAGTCAAAATTTATGTTCTCCTCTGCAAAATATTGTATGGTTCAGGGCCATCTGTTTTGAGTAGACACAAAGAAAATACAGAATCATTCACTTTATCTAAAATAGATTCTTCTCAGAGAAGACCATCCCCAAACTTGTTTCAGGTTCAGTATACTAAAAGCAGGTTGCTTATTCAGGAGGAAGCGGCTCACTCCTGACAAGGACAACTGTTTGCAGGCACCACTGTGCTCCTGCTTGCACAAGTCTTGATCTGTCCCCTGTGTGGCCTTATATTTCAGAGCTGGAGATCATCCTCTCATCTTCACCGCACACGCAGACATCTGCTGCAGCGCTAGGGAGCAGTGCCACACCTGGTATAACTGGATACTTCCCCAGGGACTTTTCAGTCACAACACAGATAAAGTAAGTGGGAGGGAAGTTTGCTATACGATACCTGCCAAACCGATTTTCAGATGCGAAGAGAAGGCTCAAAGCGTTTTCAGTCTCCCTTCTGGAGCAGAGCTGCTTGAAGGGACGCAGCCTCGCTGAAAGGAGGCACATCAGGACGCTGCGTTGTCATCTGTCAGTACAGCAGCTCATCCAGGCTCCGTCACCAGTGAGAGCTGGACAAAAAACAACTGCCTGTAGAATCTTTCTATTTTTAAATATGCCTCACAGTGCTCACCAATCTGAGACAACCATAACGAACAGAGACAATAAACGAGCACGTCCTTGCCCCACTCTGTGCACCAGGTAAGTGCACTTCAGCCGACTACCAACACCAGCCATCCACACTGTCAGGTCTATTTAGTATAGAAGATAGGCACAAGACGCTAAATCCAGCACGGAAATGGGGTTGATTAGCTACTGTCTGAAAGAGAAACAAATCTGGACATAGAAGGTGTAGATTTTAGAAGCTTAAAAATGATAATTAAATCCCTGTTCTATGGCAAAGGTTGTTCTGAATTCTGATGTCACAGTTCTCAAACTTTAACTCACAGCTAGCAGCAGCTGTTTTTCATCACCTACTTATCTACACTTAGATACAAAGATCCAGTGAAATACTATGACAATGTGAAAGAGTATAAAATCCAGCTATGCACCAGCTGTACAGTCTGCCATCAGTTCCCGACCCCTTTTTCAAAATAGTACCTGTTTTTAGCAAAACACAGCCCATCCCCCTGCTAGTAGCACAAGGTTTAATACTAATGAAGTGTTTGTGGGCTAGCAATAGTATCTGCCTCTCTTCCTGCAGGGAGCAGCTCTCCCGCGAGCCTGAGATTTGGATTTGATAATCACCTTGAGTGAATCCAGACTCACTGCTGATACTCTGGTATTGGCAAACAGGCATTTGGTGCATTGCTATAGTGAGCAGTACAGAAGTCAGATAATCAGAAAGAGGTTTAGCATTTCTGTTAGCAAGTAACTGCATGTCAGATTATTGCAACAGTAATAAGCAGTAAGAAAGGACTCTCTGCTCTGTTATACTTGTTCTTATTTGATGCAGCTGAGTACCTGCTGTTCAGTTTCCTTTAACAAGGCCAAATGCACTGCTGTTGGGCTGGCTGAGCTGTTTCTTGGGAATAAGGCTCTTTGAAATGGTAGCTACAGCCTTCAGGAGAACCCAGAATCCGGTGACATTTTCATACTCCAAACACTTTGTTTTGCTCCAGTGCAATTTCTTGATGCAGCTTCTGTTTCTGGACCAAAGTTGCCCCAAAGTCTGCTCAAAGAAACTGCTGTCCTAAAAACCATTCCTCCTTAAGTTGCTCCAAAACATGCATTTATCCCACACTGAAACCAGAAGTAGCTGACCTAACCATGGCTTTTTAAATTAGGCAGTTACAGCCATAAAGACTCCGGGTAAGAGGTTTAGAACCATGGAGATGCCACAGAAAATAAACAGAACTCAAACTCTGCCCCTCCAACTGAAGTGCTTTGGAAAGTACCTGCTTCTGCTATGGAAAAACACTAGTACAGTCATCATCTTCTCATACAGCTCCAGCTAAATTAACTCCAACTAAATTTGACTTCTGATTTTTAAACTACAAACCATAAAGTCCTGAAAAATCCAAGGCACTGTATGTAGCCCTTGAGCATCTCATACAACTAAACAAGACAAGACTTCATTAAACAAAAAAGACATTACTCTGATTATGAATGAAAAAAAAAATGAATAGAAATCACACTTCCCTACAAAAAAGGAAGTTAAACCGTGACATATAGTGAAAAATAGAATCTGTTGGGTCTAGCATCACAGTCAGCTCTAGATCCATAAGGGGCACTATTCATCACCACTGAGTCAGCAAGGATTGCTTGGGGGCAGGGATTGATCCGTTCAAGACAATCAATCAAATGTACATTCTGTTTTACAGCAGGTGCAATACATAATATGCAGTAAATGAAGGTATATTTTTGTCTGAAAGAGGGATGGAAAGATCCTTCTGGATACTGTGGGAAGAGAGAAGGAATAAATCCATATTGATTTCAGGCTAGCTTATTTTAAAACACTGAGAAATGATGCCACTTGTTTTACTTGCTGTAATAGCACTTTCAGGAACATAACTCACACTAAAACCATCTTGCTTAGGATTAGTTTTCTTTCACAGAAGAAATATCCTGTGCCGTGCCAGACAGCCCTGATGGTGTTATGGCAATGCCGCTAGAAGAATTAGCGCCATTACAATTGTCAGTTGTCTTCCGGAGAGTGGTATTTATAAACAGATCTGCGCTGAGTGACAGCTCCTTCCCCTTGCTAGATGTAGTCCAAACGTCAGTCTTCAAAATACCTTCCTGATGGGATTTTAAGATGTTAAGATGGATGTTCATGCTCTCCCTGTGTTTAATAACTGGTTGTCTGAGGTTCTGAGGATAGCACAAACAATAAATGAGATTTAAGTGATGAATTTCCATCTTCTTAAATGAAAGATCATCCCCATTTGCAGCAAGGGTTCAGACCACTGCAGATGATCAGTGCAGAGGGAGTACAGTGCGGAGAAAAAGGTGAACAGGAACATGAGGATACAAAACTACACTCAACCGCCCAGCTACCAAGTCAAAGTACCAACGCGACAAATAACTGTATGTGAAGACTGACTCACAACCATTTCAACAGGACAAGAGAGGGATGAAGGAGGGAAACCGACTGCTTCACCTCGCCTATGCTGCCTGTCCCAGCAGCTACGAGGGGCCCGGCATCGCCCCTGCAAAGCCTCCGGCCCCCAAGGCTGAGCAAGGGGCTCTGGCCATGTCCGCAGCCCAGCTGTCTCCTCGCAGGGGCAGCAGCTGCAGCCTGCTTTGGGCCCAGGGAGGGCCAGGCCCTGGGGGCAGGTGAAAAGAGAAACCGCACCCTCGGCTCCAAAATTCCTCCCAGTCGCTGGCTTGCCCCTCACTGGTATCCACTCCACATCCAATGCAAACCCAACTTCTGCCTGTCCTGCTGGTACTGGCTTCCTGATAAATACCCCATCCTTCCTTCTTAACATGATCCACATACTGTTGCTTCTTTCCCAGTTGTCCATTGCACACAGGTATGTGGATGTGTTCCACCCCGAGGTATTCGGATCAGTGATGGGACCATCC